ATCTAATAATATAAAATTTATTACAAGTTAATTTGAAAATTTTGTAAATATATTTGTCTATTTAAAATTTTTATGTTGCATTACATATGTTATTTTTTAAAAATTCTATATTTTTTAATTTTCTAAAAAAAAATAAAATAAATATAATAAAAAAAAATATATATTCTAATTGTTTAGCATATATTACCATCTTGTATACCCTCCCCTTGCCTTTATCACATCTTCAATTCTTTGTGGAATTGACTCAATCAACTTAGTACAAACCTCAAGATCAATATCATTCCACACATCTTGAACCTGTTCCCATAATTGATCTTTCTTTGTAACTTTCACAGAAAGTTTCCTCAGTCTCCTATCTATTTCATTTCACAAATGTTTAATGGAGTTCAAATCTGGAGATTGAGCAGGCCACTCAAGTACCTTTATGTCATTTTCATCAAACCACTCTTGGGTAAGTTTGACAGTATGTTTGGGGTCATTATCCTGTTGAAAAATGACATCTTCTTTATTTAATTATACCAAGTAAGTGTTCCTAAAAAATCTTCTGTAAGTATTCTTCTGTAAAGGTCACTATCCATCTTCCCACCTATCTTATAAAGGTTTCCTACACCAAGTGCAGTAAAACATCTCCATACCATAATATTTCCCCTCCAAATTTCACAATTGACTTTACATGGGAGTCTCTTAAAGGTTCTCCTACTTTCTTCCAACAATATTCTTTCCCATCACTACTAAAAATATTGAACTTACTTCGTCTGACCATATTACCTTAGACCAATCTTCAATTGTCCAATGGCGATACCTTTTCGCGAAGGCAAATTGGCGATTTCAATATGTCTTTTTGAGATATGGCTTTTTTACTTTGGTTCTTGCTGTTAAGCCGTTTCTCCGGAGGGTTTGCCTTATAGTTTCAGCACTTACCTCTATATTTTCATCCCTTTCGAGTTGTTCTTTTACTTGAATTGCCGTGGATGCTTTATTAGATGTTATAAGTTGAAACACTTTTCATTCATCACGGCCAGTAATGATACGTGGGCACCCATTTAATCATTTATTTATTCTAGAGACAGAAGAGTAATGAACTCCTTCAACATGGGCAACATAACGGACGGTATTTCCTTCTTCGAGAAGTACAGCTATCCTAGCTCGTTTCTCAGCAGATATTTGTTTCATAGGTGATTTTTTTTATAAAATCACCTGAATTATGATCAGTGAAAGGTTTTTTCTTAATAGGGTAAGTGGGGTTTTATTATTATTTTTATTATTAAAAAATTAAATAAATAATTTTTTAAAAAAGTTGCAAAAGTATTACAACAATAAAATAAACAAAATCGATTAACATCAGGTGACACAAGATGTTAATTGCAATAATCACTATATTACTATCAAGTTTTAAATAAAATAAATATAAAAATAAAAAAAAAATTTCAAGTTTTTTATTAAGATTAATGAAAAATACAACAAAGATAATTTTTTTTTTGTTGCAGTACTTTTGTGAGCTACTGTAAGTATTAATATTGTAACAATACATATTAATACTCATTAATATGTATAATATTGAAATCAATATGTATTAATATGTATCAATATATTATTGTATATATTAGAATCAATATGTTTTGATACTTTTTTTCTAATATAATATATATCAATCTTAAGATAATTGCTCATATTCATCAAAAATTTTATTAATCCAATGTGACTCAATTATCTGAATTCAATATTAAAGAAATTAGAGAATTAAGGTGGAAAGTATCAAATGCATCAAAGAGAATAACAAAAAAATTTCATATTGGTACTTGTCATGTTTATAAAATATGGAAACATAATGAATATTTTCAACAGGATTTTGATAATTGGAATAATTCTCCACCTTCTGATTCTCATAACAAGAAACTTTTAGCTATAAAAATATTGATTAATGAAGTTGTTAAAAACATAAAATTCAAGTTCAAGCTTATTTATAATTCTGATTAATCTTTTATTAGTAAAGATTCAATTGATAAAATGAATAAAATATTAGAAACAAAAAAAGAAACTATATCACCTGAAATCTTGCAAGAAACTGAAGATCCTTTGAAATTGTATAAAAAAAACAGAAAAAAGAACTAAAAAATTTAGAACAGATATAAATAGTGATATTTCTAAACTATTTATTTCTAACTATTCTATAATTAGTTTTGACAATTAGTAGAATCAGTATATTAATTGTGTAAATTATAATAATAGCCAATAACTTCTAAATTAGTTTTAACACTAGTAAATAATACTTTTTCAAGTTCCTTTATATGGATAGTTATACTTTCACAATTTACATTTTTTTTTAAGTCTTCCTTACTAGTCAAGTTAGATGAAATGGTAGATACTTGAGATGATAAATTTTGTTTCTCTTTTGATAAATCCAATACTTCTGGAACCTTGCTAAAAGTGATAATGTAAGACTTACCATATAACTTCATTCAGAATTGATTTTTATTTGAGTCAAGAATACTTTGAACTTTTTGAATCCATGAAATATCTAAACATAACTGTAACAGTTTTTGTTGTTACATCCTCTACACAGTATTTTACGTAGTTACACTTACCTTCTTATTTTATTTTATTTATTTATTTCTTTTTATTTATATTTATCTATTCTGATAATGAATGATAGCATATGAGATTAGTATTAGATTTACAATGTTGTAATCCCATGTGTTAATCATTTCATTTCTATTTTATTTTATTTCTTTTATTCTATTTTATTTATTATATTATCATATGTAGCCATCCAGATTGATCTTGTAAGACCTAAGATATTATTTATTATATATTTATATTATGTAATACTAATTATGTATTTTTTTGATAATAATTTAAAAATGTTCAATTTTAAGCATGATTGATGAAACATTTACAGAAACAAACTTTATGATGAATTCTGTTGGCATTTCTTTTTCAAAACATAAAAGCACCAAAATATATATTCATTCATACTACAGCATTTTATTCTCAAGAATAAAATGATGAATATGACTTAAGGAAAGTTTAAAAAAGGTATTATCCATGTGCAAGGATGCTTTCTGGTTACAGAAACTGATGTTGAAAACAATACAAAGGTAAATAACAATTTTAACAACTTACAAGTTAATATTTCCTAAATGCAATTTTATAATATTTCTTTTACATTCTACCTTTCTTTTGATCTCATTCGTGTGATGATGATTATAGAAAGAATCTTGTATTGATGTTTAGATATTATTTCTTCGGAGAATAATATTTTTTTTTATCAAAATGAGTGAAGTTAATTGAAAATGAATTTTATATTTTGGATATTTTCACTTCTACATTTTTGCTTTTTGCAATTGTTCAAATGATTTTACATTTTATAAGGTATTTATATATATTTATATTGTATAGATTTATTATAGATTTATTTAAATTAATAACTTTCAATTTTTTAAATATTTTTAGGTATGCAATCGCTTTCGTCAGAATTTTAGAATTTGTCCATGTTAAAAGAATATTGGATCAATCTTCATGTCATGTGCTACTTCTTAATGAATAAATCAACGTTTTTATTATATCTTGATATATATGTTCTAATAAAGATTACTAAACATGTCTAAGATTGCTGCCATGTTATTATACTAGCTTTCTTTACTATTTAATGTTACTTGTTCTCCCTCTTTACTTTCGCTTTTAAAAAAATAAACAAATATTACTTGAGAAAACACATGCCGATTACGTATTTAACAAAAATATTTGTGCTACAGTTGGAATGATCGTGATATTCAGGTCGCTACAAAACTTTTTCGGCAAGGAGTTCCACTTGTTCAATCACAGGTAATAAAAGTGAATCCTCATATAGAATTTATGCTCGTCCATCCACTCAACAAAAAGATGCAGCAGCATTGTCTTTATTAATTGTAAGTGTTGGAACACTGCCTTTGAAAAACTAATAAAGAATCCGATAAAAGTACCACAACTATAAGGCTTTTTTAAACGAGATAAAAAAATTTTCGAAGAAATTAGAAAGGATCAATTATTTAAATAAATTTATTCAATAATCCTCCTCACCTCATTTTTTTTTGTTTATTTTGAGCTCAAGATTTAGATAAACAGTGTAAATTTTATTTTGTTTAGAGATAAATAAAAAATTCTATTATCTCATGATTCTGTTGATTTTTGACAAAGAAAAAAAAATAAAAATAAATATTTAATCAACCTCCATTTGTTGAGGTGAAATTTTTTGTTTAGAGATAAATAAAAAATTCAAGATTTTTTGATTATTGACAAATAAAAAAAATAATAATAAAATATTTAATCAGCTCTCTATTCGTTGAGATAAAACCTTTTTCCTCCTATTAGAATTAGGATATAAGATAGGATATAAGATAGAAATAAGATAGGATATAAGATAGGATTTAGAATTTAGAAATTCTAGAAAATGGCAGTGTGAGAATACTATATTAGGGAATTTTTTTTGAAAAGGGAATTGTTTACATAGTACCACTTTCTTTATTCAACAAAATTTCCTGTTATACGAGCTTAATAAATAGACTTTGACCAAATACAGACAATCATAATACAAAGACCGCCCCTAATTCGTGATTTCTAGTTTATATAGAAATTAAATATTTAGTTAATATGTATTTAATAAATTTGCAGCAAGCTAACAGGTATAGCTAAGCCTTGACATATTTTCACACAATTACTAAGATTGTACATTTAAATTTTTGTTTAAATAGCGATTTTATAAAAGGAAGACTTTTTGACATTTTTCTTGTATTGTTAAAGCAAAATTCTTTCATCAGGTTTATTCCATTTTTTAGTTATCAATATAATCCCTTTCCTTTCGCCTTTAATTTTCATATCTTTACTTTCATTTAAAAGGTGGTTATACAGCGGTCTCCACGGATCCAGAACAATAAAATTCTATTTTTAGTTTTCAGGATCAATCTTCACAAATGCCATATGAGAAAAAAAAATTGGTGAAATCATATGTTCTAGAGTAAGTTTCTAAATTTTTCTTAGAATATATCATATATATATATATTATTATATTCTTTTAATAATTCTTCTCATAATATATATAAATATATAGTTGGGTACTATGTTTTGCATTTTTAGGAATTTACAAAGGTTTAAAACAATTAGACCCATTTCACAGAAGATTCTCTTTGGAAGATAAATCAATTCAATATCCATATGCTGTTGAAGAAAGGGTACCAAATTGGATGTTATATGTACGTAAAATTTGACGATTTTTATGATTTATAATTTTTATATAATTTATAATTTATAATTTTTTTATAATTTATAATTTCTTTATAAATATAATATTTTTATAATTTTTAAATTTTTAAATGATTTTTTTTAGATAATTACATCAATTCTTCCATTAATTACGATGATCATAATATCACTTGGACTCAAAAGAAGCATGCACGATTGTCATCATGCAATTCTTGGATTCATTTTAGGATATTCATCGACTTTGGTAGTGACTCAATTATTCAAGGTAAAATTGGAATTTATTACTTATAATAATTATAATAATAAAATTAAGCCTGTCTTGGATTAATATTAAATATTAATCTAAAATATAAAATGTACATTGAATATTCCTTAAATAGATTACTGTAGGTCGTCCCCGACCAGACTTTATTGATCGATGTCAACCAGTTAATGGATCGACGGATGCCACAGTTTATGGTCTTAGTACTTCAGATATTTGTACACAAACTTCTCAATCTATATTGGAAGGTGGATTTGAAAGTTTTTTTTCTGGTCACGCCTCAAGTAAGTTCAATGTGCTTTGTGAAATTATTTTATGAATATACATCTCTTTCTCTCTCTATTATTTCTATTATTTACACATTCTTTATTTTTTCATATAGCCAGTTTTGCAGGAATGGGTTACCTATCATTATATTTTGCTGGCAAATTGCATGTATTTGATAGAAAAGGTTACACATATAAAGCATTCATAGTAGCTAGTCCTTTAGTTGTTGCTACTCTTATTTCTATATCTCGAACAATGGATTATCGTCATCATTGGCAAGATGTTATCGTTGGAAGTTTGGTTGGTAATTATCCATTATTATTATTTTTCATTTATTAAATTCAGCTTTCCTTCATATTAACCATTTCTCTCATGGTAATTATTAAATAGGTTTCTCATTTGCTTTCTTTTCATATAACCAATATTTCCCTCCTTTACATTCACATGTTTGCCATCAACCTTTCGCGGTAAGACTTAAAGAACCCGAACCAGAACATACTGCTGATTTTTCATTTCATGATGGGTCAACATTTAAAGTTAGTGTGACTCGTAAGGATGGTGAAATCGTACATAAATCTGATTATGCAACAACTCCTGAAGAATTAAATCAAGTCTGATAACAAGAAAAAATTTATTATTATAATATAATATTATTATTATGTCACAAGTTACATACATTGCTTTTACATCTATATAAATGTATAAATCTTATTGTAATTTAATATTATGGTTACTCAATAGCATTTTGCATATTTTGTGTGACGAGAAAAAATATTATAAAATAATAAAATGTCATTAATAATTCGTTTTTTTACAATTTTGTTTCTTTTTTTCAAAAAAAAAAAAAAAAAATTCTACTTTTCATACCATACCTTAAGTAAACAAAAATTAATGGCATCTGATATATGCCCAGAATGCAATCAAGAATATACTTCTATCATATTTGGCTGGTGCAAACCATGTAATTCGAAGCATTTCCAAAATGATTTTAATAAATTAACAAGTGGAAATGACAAAATAGACAATTTCATTCAAAATTCTCAACTAAATGCTAGTGAATATTGTGAAGTAATAGAATGGATACCTTATGATAGATTTAAAGACGTTAAACAAATAGGTAGAGGTGGATTTGGAACAATACATTATGCTAGGTGGATTGATGGACGAATTAAAAAATGGGATATAGAAAATCAAAAATGGGAGAGAGATTGTCAAGAAGTAGAAGTAGTATTAAAAAAGTTTGATAATTTTGTGAATTTGAACGATGTCTTAAATGAGGTAAATATTTTAATTAATATTTAAATTTAATTTTCAAATTATTATATAACGTTTTAACTATAGATTAAAAATGTTTATATAATTAGATGGAAATTCACTTAAAAACATTTTCGGAACTTGCTTCTATTAAATTTTATGGAATTACACAAGATCCAGAAACACATTCATATATTATGGTTTTACGATATGCAGCAGATGGAAATCTTCGAGAATATTTAAAAAATAATTTTAATAATATTAATTGGTTTCAAAAATTAGTATATCTATGGGTATTATCTTTAAGGATGATGGATATTCATGAATTAGATATAGTTCATCAGGACTTTCATCCTGGAAATATTTTATCGAGCAATTTTAATGATTCTATGCGGATTTCAGATTTTGGATTAAGTAAACTAATAGGGGTAGATCCAAATAGTCCCGAAAAAAAGAAAATATTTGGCGTATTACCATATATCGCTCCAGAGGTGTTGACTGGTGAAGAATATTCAAAAGCTGCTGATGTATATTCATATGGAATTATTGCCTATGAAATAGTTACATGTTTTCCTCCATATCCTAATATACCACATGATAAAGATTTAGCTATGAAAATATGCAATGGGTTACGACCAAAAATTCCATTTCATACTCCAAAATTAATTACAAGAACAATTATGAGGTGTTGGGATGCTCGAGTTACACATAGGCCCACTTTTAAAGAATTATATGAAGAGTTGTGGCAATACTATGATTGTTATAATGATTATTTAAAGAAAGGAAAAAATGAAGATTCAGAAATTGTAATTCAAATTAAAAAAGCCGAAGAATTTTCAGCAAATCAAGAATTAACAAATACAACAACTACAACAAATACAGCTCCTCTTAACTATCAAACACATCCACAAGCAATTTATACCAGTCGACTTCTTAATTATTCAAATCTTCCAAAACCCAAGAATAAAGAAAATTTCGAAACGGAACTTGAAGAATTAACTAAATCTATGTCTGATTTATGTCCTAGTAAATATCATTATGTTTATTTTTATTTATTTATATATTATATTATTTTTATAATAAATTATATTAATTTATTTCTACGTTATTTAGGAGATTCTGGAATAATTGGTTTGGATATGTCTAATTTTTAAATTTTATTGACTTTATATATTTTTATTTGTATTTTGCTTATTAAATTATAAAGCACAAATCATTTATTAGTTTTTTTTGATATTATAAAATCTTAACACTAGGCATAAAGCATGAATTTTTCATCCCATTTGTACAAATTCAATTAACTCAGTTTTGTGTTTCGATTTTATAAAAATAGAAAAATAACAATAAAAGAGATATAAATTTATCACAAAATCGACTAAAAAGTGATACTATTTAATATTTAATGTCTTTATGCACGACGATGCGTATAACATTATTGATGCACGTGTTTTTAATGTTAAATATTATTATAAAGTGACATGTGTTAAATTTATGCATATCATATCTGATATATTTATATTAAAATCAATAAAAATATCGTATTTAACTTTTTTTCTATAATTATTCATAATATAGCAAGAACAAAAAGAAATAAAAAAAAAACTGAAACTATCGATTAAGACTATCATCAATACCAATATTTTTTGTGTAGTTGTAATTAATTAATTATTCATCATTTTTTTTTTCAATTATTCATTGGTTCTTTTAATAGAAGATAAAAAATTTCACAAAGTTCCCATCCTATCATATGAATAAAAATAAAAACATCACTCTTTGTTTCCTTTGTAAAAGAAATGTAGAAAAAATTTTAAAATTTGATACACAAATTATTACTTAGTGTAAACTATAGATAAGTTTTACCCTAAAAATGTCTGTATAATATTTAAATATTTATTAGAATTTTTATATATTTACAAAAATAAAAAGAAATTATCAATTACACCAACAACAATAACACAATTATAAACTTTTATTGCTGAAAAATAGTAATAAAACAATAACATAACAATATTTTATCCAAAACTTTGGTTTGATCCATCACCTATTGAAATACCAATAAATAAAAACTATAATAATAATAACAACGATAACAATTATTACTTCTTCTAATAATGAAAATGAAAATTTATCCCCATCATCTATAAAAGTAGAATCAAAAAAAATAATATAAAATATTAATCACGAGATCCTTTAATCCCTAGTTTATTCTTAATCCTCCCCTCTCTTACTCATATAACACTATACGAGGAGGTGAATAATTTTTCACATCAACAATTTAACAAACAACAACAACAACAAAGTAAATCAGTTAACTTACCATTTCATCTCCTTTACATTCGAAATTTGAAACCATAATAATAAACAACAGCTAAAGCAAGTCTAGATTTTCTATATTTTTTTGTATTTAAATAAGATAATCTAGATAATCCAAATTTAAATTCATTTAATTCTTTAAAATTTTACTCATTTTCTCTTTCTTGTTTCTCTTGTTGCTTTTGCTTCTTCAAATGACTTTTAATTTTTATGAATACTTATCAAGTGATTCGTTAAACTTTTAGAAAATGATGATGAACATAGAATTTTGCTGAAGTCGAAAGTTCATTCAACAGTCTTGTGCTACCGATGTACTTATTTATTTCTGAAGAATTAACTGCTAAAGTTTTTAATATTGTTATTAATATTTAATGAATTTATTAAATTAGTATTTACTTTATAAGTTATTGAAGCTATGTTAATGAATGGATGAAAAGTCTGTGTTCAGTTTTTATAATAAAAAGTCTTGTTTGTGTTCAGTTTGTTATGAAGACTCTTGTCAATCTTGACCAAAGAATTACAAATTAGGAAGTTATTTTGCATAAAAAACTATCAACCGTTCTTATTATATATATGTATATTATGTCATCTTTTTTTAGTTTTTTTTTTATTTATAAAAAAAATTATTTTTATAATCTTTTTTTAGTTTTTATTTATTTATGAAAAAAAATCATTTTTATATCTTTTTTTAGTTTTTTTTTATTTTTATAAGAAAAATAGATAACAATGTTAGAAATTTTTTAAAAAAATAGATCATCAAAATTGATTATCTATTTTCTAATTTCTAAAAATGGATCATCGAAATTGATTTTTTTTATTTTAAGAATTTATTATTCATTATTCACTTTTTTCTAATTTCTAAAAAAAATGATCATTGAAATTGATATTTTATTTAAATTAAACTGTATACAAAATAAAAAAACAAATGAACAGATTTACTAATTATTTTTTGAAGAAAATTATTTATTCACTAAAAAAAAATCATGTGAAATTATTATCTTGAAACTTAATTGTATTAAAAATAGATAAACAAATAAATAATTTATTTATTTGTTTATTTTTTTTAAGAAAAATTTTAAAAAAATAAATAATAATTCTTTTAAATAATTTATTTAAGAGAATTATAATTTATTTTCTTAAAAATTTCTTAAAGAAATTATGATTTGTATTTTAATTATTTATTTCTTTCTAAAAAAGTAAAACAAATCTTTTATTTCAGGAAATTTAATAATAAAGTATACAAATCAGTTTGTTGTCTTCTAGATCAAAGATCATTTGTGCATGTAAAAATTTTGTATTTCTTGATGTTTAAAAAATTTTATTTTTTATCAAAAAAAAAAGAAATAAATAAACTTATTAAAACATAAATATATTTGGTTTTTAATTGAGATTAAACTATAAAATGAGTTATTATTTATATAATATATTTGAGGTAAATATACCAAAAAAATGTATGAATGAATTTCAATAAAATTCTTTTCAAAAATCAAAATTCTAATAATAATCAAACAAACACAAATAACTTATATAATTTATTGAATAGACAGTATTGTCTAAGTTTTATACACATAAAACCTTGGATTTTAACAAATAACTTTAAACTGGTATTAAAAAAATTTCAAAAAAATATTCTCAAACAATATCCAAGCTTGGCATGTGTATATTGTGCAAAATTATTATATCCAAAACAAGTAAAATGGATTGTTTATAATCAAGAAATAAATATCCAATTGAAGAAGCTTTTGATAATTTTCATTTAGAGTTTCATCCAAATACAAAGTTCCCATATGTAGGTCTTGTCATAGTCAAAAAAATCATAAAAATATATCTTGTCTTAATTAATAACAATATTTTATTCCTTTTTAATCTTATTTTTTTTAAAAAAAAAATTTAAAAAATGAAAAGAATCACATAATATTTTTGTTGTATTGGTGGAATTCGCCATTCTAGTTAAATGTTTAATAAACCGTTAATATAATTATTAAATATTTATATAGATATATTTATCAATCTTGAAAAAGTTGTAACATCTGTTACTTTTGATCATTTA